TAGATTGTAAGTCATGTCGGTTTAACTGGAAAAAACGTCTTTTTCAAAATAGATTTCAAAATGGATATAATAAAGTGGTAATTGAACTTCGTGTCGTGCAATTTTGGTCTGAAATCAAACTTGCAATTACAAATCGCACGACCGCKWMGCGGYCGTGCGATTTTGTAATCGCGCGTTTGATTTCAGACCAAATTGCACTCCACTCAGTTCAATTACCATTATAAAAACTAGTTTGAGCTGCGTCGGTGTTTCTAATGAAACAGTAATGATAAAAAGGTAAATTATACACTGTGAAAAGATGAAAAAAGGTACTGACGTTATGGACACTAGTCCTTTGTCGGAGTAAAAGAATATTATGAATATTTTCTGGAACTTCATTTCACCAATTCAGTTTTTTGTTTTTGCTTTTACAGTGCTGTCAAGGTATAAGTAGATGTTTTTATTACCATCAATCTTCAGGTCGTCTAACTCCAAAGGGGTGAGTTTACTAGAACAGCTTTTGCTGAATGTATCCCATAATGCATTGAGTATTGATTTCCCGTGGAGTTCTTTGGTAATATCTTCTGTCTAAGAAGTAAGAAACAAAAAACATGTTAACCTCCATAGAAGGGGATTGGAATTTTCAAGGGGTGGGGAGGGTCTGAGGAGGGTATATTGTGTAGTACCAGAAAATGTACATGCCTCCCCCACAGAGGGGATCGAAATTTCCTATTGGTGGGGAGGAGTGTATTTTTTACTTCTTTTATTTGAAACTCCTGGGGGAGGGGGAAGGATCCAAAAAATGTTAAACACAGGCAACCCAATGGTCTTCAAATATTTCTTTCGTTTGTTCATTAATACTTCCTACCTTAGGTCTTCGTTTTCTTTTCTTCTTTTTCTTTGTATTTTCATCGTCTACATCCTAAAGTGTATAGATTAAAAATCAGCATTTTTATGTATAGTATCGAGAGACATCATCTGACGTCGATCAGTTGTTTTCACTTTGAAGCTTTTGATTTATGAAAAAACTCAGATATAAGATTCATATCTGATCGTAGCCTATTTATATACTCTATATATTAACAAGGATTAGTAAATGGACTCTTTCTTATCCATAGTAATACAGTTTTCTAAGTCATATTCATTTGTTTACCTCGTCGCGTCCCTTCACGTGTCGTTCAGAGCGCTGAGAATTTTTTCTTTTCTTCGCTTTCTTCTTATCATTTTCTATAAAACAACAAAACATTCGTGAGTTTATATCAGCGCAATGGTAGAGAAACTGGCAGAAAGAAAAAAATACCTTGATTCTCGGAAGATTCGTTGTGTTTTTTGTCTTCTAACCACCACTCGTCGTCTAGATCGTCCGCCATATTGGTTTTCTAGGGCTACAAAGCTTGTTGGGTAATACGCAGGAAGTCCAGTGACGCTCTCTTTTAGTCTGTCCTTGCTGGTCCACCCGTCCCGTACGTTGTGAGTCAGTGCTTACTGAAAGTTGTAAAGTCCTTGTAACCAGATGTTACTGACCTTTGTAAAAAGCGATAAAGCTAG